AGTCGCCTGTCGCGTGGAGGCTCAGCCCCGTGACAGAGCCCTCGTGGGCACGGACGACCTGCACGCAGGAGGCGTTGGGCACAGACCAGATCCGGATAGTAGCATCGGGAGAAGCTGAGAACACCAAGTCCTAAACAGGGACGAGGCAGGAAAATTAATATCAAAAGACCTTCACCTCTCCATCTTAAGAGAGCTTTCTACAGGCAAGAACTGGCCCACCACCAGTCTGCGTGAGGCGGAGACCCCACCAGAACAGAGCACCAGAAGAGGGCCCAGAAAACCCAATCTGGGGCAGCCTGGCTGTGAGGGAAGAGGCCGAATACGGGCCTGAGCACACCTGAGAGGGGTGGAAGACGACACTGGTAACCTTCTTGGAGTGCCCCTTGAGTGTCGCCAGGATCTGCTCTGAGCTCTTGTCAAAGACGATGACGTTTTTATCAGCCCCGCCTAGAAAACAAAGCAGGGAGAGGTGAGAGATGGGAGGCTGTGGCCAACCAAGTCCAAATCCACCCACCTTTCCTGGGGACCACCGTCCTGAGAAGCTTTGCGACGAGGTGAGAGAACCCCTCATGCACCGTGCTCCACCTCTATCCCCCAAAAGCACAGAGAAAGGGACCTGCTTCCAGGCAGCCGCAGGCTCTTAGCTGACACCACACAGTCCCCAGCAAGCGGAGCTGGCTCCCTTACCGGTGAGGATCTTGTTGGTGTCGGAAGGACAGAGGTCCAAGGCAAGGATCCCTGGAATGCTGGCGCTGTGCAGCCCCTGCGCGAGGTAGGAGGATGCCAGATTAATGCCGCAAGCAAGAAAACAGTCCCAAAGGGAACTGAGAGGCCCTTGAGGGAGCCCAGCGTGTTTCATTCCGGCAGCGAAAGCCTGTGCCACATCTACTCCAGCACAGGTCCCTGCTGGCTGCGGCACAGAGAGTCACGACCTTCTCCTCGCTCTGCCCAGCAGCAGATCTGCCGCTTACTGATGCTGCGAAGCGGCACAGGAGAAGCCCAGATGCCCAGCTACACCGGGGAGTTTTCAAGCCCGCACCCGCATCACGGCACTCACCACATGCGAGGCGACCTGCCGGTACTTGCTGAGTTCCTCCGGCTTCACCAGTTCCTCTGGAACAGTCTTGCCTCTCTGCAAAAGGAAAACGGTGCGGAGATAAACATCGGCCTCTCTCGGGGCACGGTACGTCGTGACTGCTGCGGCATCTTCGGAGCAAAACAGGGCTGCTTACCTTCTTACGCTCCGTGGTCAGCACCGTAGCCTTGTCTTGAAGCTGTGAAATAAGAGAAGGGTGGTCACAGACTGACTGGGGGTCCCACGGGGGAAAGCTGGAGACTGGCCACTGCTGAAGGCTGCAGCTGCGCAGGTGGAAGACCCCTTACCTTCTGGATGATCTCGGGGGTCATGCCCACAAGCTCTCCCAGATCCATGGACTCCCCAGCTCCCTGCACAGGACAGAGAAGGAGGCTGGTTACACCCAGAGGGGGAACACAGGGGAAACGAGTGGAGATCGGCAGCGGGGGACCAAGGGGAGAAGTGCCCAGACGGGCAGTGGGGACTCACCGCCACATTTGGCTGGGAGGACGGCACCGTCTGGGGCACGATGAGGCCAGCCTGCGGCTTCAGAGTCGCCAAAGCTGCGGAAGCAGAGAAAGGCTGCGAGTTTAATAGGCGCTTGAAGGGGAAAGGAGACGGCGTCCAGGGCAGCGATCGCTACCAAGACTACCCGCTGCTGGGCCACG